TGACAAATTGAAAGCTTCAGCTTCCGAGCAGGCCACTGTCGGATACCGGCTGCACGGAGCTTCGGGAAAATATTATGAAGCACGTGGGAAAGCCTGGCAGCCCTGGGGTGTGATCAAAGGAGCCAACGAACCTTCCAAGTCTGACTCTGGTGCATTCGTTCTTGGGAAGACACAGGCTTGGGAGCCTGGTGTCTTGAAAGAAGCAGGAAAGCTGCTCATTCTCATAGGAGCTGAGAGCTCATGGCGCCCCTAGTGTGTGCATGATCTACCAGACTTTGAAACTTCAACGACTTCGGCATCAAGGCTGTGAGAAGCAAAGCAGGGTTGGCTTAAAATGGGCATGTCTTGGCAGCGACAGCAAGTACAAGTATACGCGACTTGTCTCGGGATTAGAGACATATGACAGCAGTCCAAGGGGACCAGTCTGCTCCGCAAGCTGTCTGCAGGCTTTCCTAATTGATTCTGGAGCCCTCTACGTCGTCCTGCCCTGAGAGCTGCCAGCCTAGAAAGCCGCTGCACAAAGATCTGAGGACCTCAGGGACGAGAACAGCTCGAAGGAGGGCTGGACTTCTCTTCCTCCCGCCTTTCCTCACTTCTCCGTTCAGGCCACCGAGCCCCGAGTGGACTACACGCGCCACATGATGGTGACAGACGACTTCACTTCTAAGGCTGGGTCAGCCTTCTCGTGACAGACGCGAATCACGTCCGAGTCTGCCCGCCGCAGGCTGCGCCCGCAACTTGCACGGATGATGCGCTGACTCCGCGGTCGTCTCGGGTAGCTGTCCTGTCTTCATCCAGTCTCGTCTCCCTCGCGTTCAAACTGCGACTCAGGTCAGGGCGTTGCAACAGCTTCGCAGCCTTGGGAAATGCTATGTTGCCGTGGCAGACGGGCATCTCCCAGGAGGACACCGTGCGTGCGCTTCACGAGGACGGCTCCCGCTCCCGTCGTCCCGTCGGGCTTTGGAGGGCGAGGGTTGCTCCAAGTTCAGAGGACGGCGTTGAGGCGCTAGTCTTCCGACTAGTTGAAAGCCACTCGGCCAGCGCGGAACTTCTACTCCTGGCCGTCCCAGAGGCATCCGCAAATCATGCCTTCTTGTCGGCCTGCTTCTTCATCTTACAGGCTCTTGAGGCACACGGGCAGCTGATAGACTGCCTCGCAGCTGCCATCATTGCGGCCATAGGAGCTATGTTGCCGGGGATGCCAAGGCACTTCCCTCAGGGTTTTCGATTTTCCCCATGTGTGATGTTGCCTGCTTCTTACGCTGATTTACTGATACTAGTTGTTTTTGCCGCTAGGCTAGAGATGGTGGTCAGCCTTGGAAATGAAGCTGTGTCACAACGGAGATCGTATTCGTGGAGCCCTCCTTATGGTCGCCGAGAGGCGAGGCCAAGCATAACGCGTGTTGAATTGCCCAAGCATTCTGGGCAGGATGTTCCCCCACCTGTGTTCAGCTTCTGCAGCTGCTTGGTCAAACATCGTCACTGTATGGAGGAGGATGCTGCTGATTTCTTTGTGCATCAGGTGATCGGAAGAGCTTTTGGGATATACCGTTGCCAAGCTCCCTCTGCTACCGCTTCCGACCACGCTGCAAGGGCAAGGCACGAAGCTTACATCCCGTGAATGTCTGCCGAGACCTGATGGTGGAGGACTCCGGAGATGCTACCAGCGGCCGGCTTACGTACACGAAGCAAGAAGAAGAGTGCTACGTCTTCAGACTGCTGTTTGGCTGAGAAAAGTGCCATGCTTCTACACTTCTGCAATCCTGCTTTGCTTGAAGCCTTAGGCGAAGACGCAAGCCACATGGGCTAAGTTCTGTCATGAGCTCCTGAATTAGTCACCCACATTCATGTCAGTGAAACCGAATGTCCGTACGTCAGTGCGCATCCGCAATGACATGCTCGCCACATACAGCAATATTGATGATTGCGGATCCCGCAACCCGGAACCAGGGCCGAGCCTGCAAAGAAAACAATATTCCCAACACTCTGTCAGGAAAGCAGGATAGCCCTGCCCTCTGCTTGATGCAAATGTTTCCGTCCATCCCGTGCTCTGAGTGACGCTGCCACAGGCTGACGTCTTATGGAGAACTCCTTCGCTACAGGCCTATGGGCCGCGCTATGGAGGAAGAGGCATGGTGCATTGGCAGAGAGATGCAAAGAAGCATGGAGTGCTCATCCACAGGCAGTAACCATGGATGATCTCGTTCTGAATTCTGGAGCCCCTCGTCGTGGAAGTAAGCCGCAGTAGACCAGTTTGAGCTAGCTGGTTAATCCATGACGAGATTAACAGAAGGTTGTGGTCCTGAAATCGTGGTCGGTGCAGTCCAGCCGATTCCCCGGATTGATTCAGCAGTGCACCGGTGCGACAAGCCATTGCACATCTCTAAGCTCCGATGGCCGAAGAGATGACGTCGCGATGTGATCTGAATCTCAGCTGCAGAACAGCGGCGCTGCGCTTCATTACAGCTTGACCGGGCAGCTGGCAAATTGAGGCTCATGGCAAGGGCAGCTGCCTGAAAGGGACCGGGGGTGTCCTGCAGTCACAAACGCAACTCCTCAGCGGGCGGTTAGCAAATGATTCACATCTTTGTCGTGTTTTTTCGTTTTTTATCAGCGACTTCATGTACAAGACGTGCGTTTCAATGTGAACTGCCCTGACCCGCCAATGCTACGCCGGTTCAAGTTTTCCGGCTACACAAGCTGCTTAACTTCAAACCTGCGATCCCAGCCGGCAGTGGCCAGTGGCCAGCAGGCTGCAACACTTCGCAGCCGTCGCAACCAGCTTGCAATCTTGCACAACATCACAGAGCCCTTAACGATTCCAATCACGTGCCGCAGTGCGACCTGGAGGCTCGACTGCGACGTCAAGGCGTTGTGACCTAGTTTTGCCTGTGCAGGATGCCATGAGCAGAGGCGCACATGTGCTCAAAAGCTTGCAATCGGACGACTGCACTTCGACCTCGGGGCCGATGCAAGTTTGTACGCACGGATGCTCCGTGCTGCACCTTTGGAGGCCATGTCGACTTCTCGACTCTGCTGTTTACTTACACTTTGCAGGCCGGTGACTCAGCAAAGTGGACTTGGCGAGTGCCGCTTTGTTAGCTAGAGGTCCTGACTTCTCGCGCTGTTGCTCAGACGGTCAACAGCCCTGACCTTAACTTACCCAAGGTTCAAACATTTCAAGCTGTCGCGTTCGCTAGCCTCTAGACATGTTTCAATCGTCACCGTGCAGTGCGCAACAGCAGATGCAGGTGATTCAACAAACATGTGGAGTCGACTGTGAAGCATCCGATGTGGAAAAGCACCAGCACTCACCCCAGCCGCAGTTCGATCATCTTCAGCACGACCAGCAGCACCAGGTCAGAATCACCCACTTATTGCGAGTTTCCGTGAGCGGCGTGTTTCCCTCGCGGTCTTGGTTTTGTTGCTGTTGCTGTTGGTGCTCACCGGTGGTGGCGGTGGTAACGCTGCCGCTGCTGCTGCTGCTGCTGCTGCTGCGACATCCGTAGCAAACTCATAACCACAGCCAGCATGTAACGCTGCAGTTTCGTCGAGCGGCGCCAGGTGGTATTGGGCCACTCGTCCAACAGGCAGAACCAGAAGTTCTTTCGATTTACACAATCCAGAGCAGAGCAAGTGTTGAAAGCAGCCCAGTGGTCTCTGGTGCAGGCTGATGCAAGACCTGGCACGGTAAAGCCCTCAGAACTGAATCGAAGTCAGACGCTATCCGCTGCTTGTGCTGTGGCAGCTCCACTGGGCCCTGGCCGTGATCCTCATTGTTGTGCTGCTCGTGGGGCTCTTCCGCTCTTACCGAATCTTGAAACAGGCCGCAACACAAACGTGTTTTGCTCCCAATTCTGAGAAGCTTTTAAGCGAAATGCGCTTAAGCCCGTGTCAGACTCAGCACCTCACCGTGGTGAGACATGCCCCGGAGGCAGAGTGCATTAGCATAGTACTCGAATGCATGTCACAGTACCGTTCGTGAGGGAATGAGAATCGTTGAGTGTGGTTCCTGCCATACGGCACAGCCCCGCACTTGGCCCAAGGCTCTGGGAATCTTGACTGACACGTCACTGACAGCTCAGGTATGTCAGTGCCCACGGGCGTATCTTTATCTGCTGCAACTGCCACTGTGCCAATCGGATTCCGATGGAGGCTACACGAGCAGAGGCACATCTGCAAGCGCACGGATACGGATCGTCTCCGGCAAAGAATTTGAGGAGCTTACGGTGGCAGACGGGCCACTGAAGAAGTTCGAGTTCCAGAAAGGTGGTGAGAACTTCTGGCAGGAACGACCTGCTTCAACCGCAACACAACAGGCTTGAACTGTGGCCGCCCGTTCTTAGATGAAGCCATGGCTTGTGTCATTGCGCAGCCCTCCTTGTCCAGAAGTCCCTGTCGAGTCAACCTCATAACTCATATCTCTATTTTCTGCCTTTCATGCGGAAATCATTGTTGCACACGAAGCTAGTGGAAATAAGGCAACACCGGAGCAGAAGTTTCGTGTTGCGATTCAAGTCTTGGTGGCATGTGCACGATGATCCGACGCAAGCCATGCCTGTGCTCTTCAATGCTCGCAAGAAGTGGCAGGACAGTTTGCATGGAAGCGTTGTTGAAGCAGTCATAACAAATCCGATTATCCCGACAGGAGGCAGAGGCCTGAACCTTTGAGGAACCTGGTTTCATTCATGGTGTCATGCTCATGTGGTCCGTGTGAGGCCAAAGTCATTCAGAAGAGCAAAGCTAGAAAGCAGCCTCGGGAGAAGCTTGGCAGCTCACCTATATGATCCCCAGGCAGCCCGCTGTCCGTTGAATCTGAGGAGAAGCACTCCTCTGCCAGATCGCGAGCACTGGGAGGTTGAGCTCAGAAACCTCTACAGCTTCTTTAGCAGAGTAGAACTCCGTCAGGCCGCGCTGTCTTCCAATTGGACGTGCTTGAAGGAGGCTCCAGAAGCTGTCAGCTGCTAAGTCGTTTCCGGATGCTGGCTGCAACGCGGATGCACCGTGTTCCATGCTACTTTGCTACCAAACGATCATCTGGAATTGCCTACCAGAACCAAAGCGGAGCCCACAGCAACAAAATTCCAGAATGGTGGCTTATGCTGGTGTGACGTGCACAGCCCTGATGATGAACCATGTGACCCTCATGTGAAGGGAACGTTGTTTGCCGGTGTTCGAAGCCGTTGACTTGCGGGACCATGAGATTGCTCTAGTTTCTGTGTCTCGCCGATGCCTCCTTGCTCCCCCACTTCGGGCTCAGCAGAATCCAGCTGCTGCGAACACAGGAGCTAGTCAGGATGAACAACAGACTGGAATTCCGAGTGGTCTGGCATGATAGTGAAACTGATAAGGCGGCGTGACAGTGTGAAGCGAGGAAGGTCAACTACTGGGTCCAAGGGTTAATTAAGTCGCATCGCGTCGTGTTTAGTCGCATCGATCCAGTGTGCAAGAGGGGATTCCGCTAAAACGCAATGATGCCACGTATGCGTGTCTCGAACGAGTGCTTGTGGAATTGAGCGTCTACTTACATGGGGAATGGCTGGTTTTGATATATGTTGTGATGCCCCTTGTGTCTTGAGTTGATGCTTGCGAAATGCAAAGTCTACATGGGGAATGGCTGGTTTTGATGTACTGTGATACCACTTGTGTCTCGAACGGGTGCTTGTGGAATCGAGTGTCTTGATGGGTAATGCCCGGTTTGATGTGTTGTGATGCCCCGGATGTGTGTCTCGAACACGACTTTCGACGGCGTGGTGACTTAGGGCCAGCAGCAAGTAGAATACGTGTGCTATACGACACCTTAAGGCCCTAAAGGTTGTGAGCCCTGGCCCGCCCTGGCCCGGCTAGGCTGCCTTGTGTTGATATTCATACATGTAAGAGCGTATGTACTCCCAACACCGCATGCCCCCCCCCCCCCTCCCTCCCGGAAATCTCCAACTGTTAATGAGTATGAGTTTTCCCGTCATGGGTTCGTGGGTCGACGTGGCCCGGGAGGTTGGTGGGGTTGTTTTGTTTTGGGAGCACCGAAATTCCCTCGTCCCTCGCCGTTCTCTTAAGTGTTCATGTGTCCTGTCTGGCATGGATCTCCGAAAGATCGGAGGTCAAGGCTCTTTTCGGAACTTAGGTAATCCTTACCCTTGTGGGTGTTATATAAACCTACCGTGATTCAATACTGTAGGTGAGCCTTTGTGGGGCCAGGGAATCCAGCAACTAGGCAAGGAGTCATCAGAGGCTCTGAACCCCAAACCTCGAACGGGTCGCCTTGAACCTGAACCCACCTGAACCTTAAATCTAAACCCTATGCCTATAACCACACACCCTGAGCCTGAATCTCTGACGCTGAACCACAAACATAAACCCTAAGCCCCCTAAGCTTGAAGCCTGAACTCTCGACCCCTAAACCCCAAGCCACAAAATAAACTAAAGCACAAACCCTGTAGCCTTCCTAGAACCGTTGTACTTAGATCCCTGAAAGGAGCCTGTACAGAAACCCCTTTAAAGCTCTTAAAAGGAGCCCTGAAAGTTGCCTTCTGAGACGAAACCCAAACCCAGAACCTTCTCAGCGTTGCTGCTTTTATCGGAGTTAAGGTCTGGTGTTCTTTCGGCTTCTTCAGGCAACTTTAGGGTTCTATTATAAATCTACTTGTTTTGTTTAAGGCCTACTTCGGGTTCTTCCCCCTTCGTGCTGTTTCGGTGTGAGAGGCGTTTTCCTGCGGTGACAAGGGGGACGTTGCGACTAACGCGCCCTGATGGGACTTAACCGCGCCACTCGTAAGTCCCGATGGACATGAAAGTGTGGAAAGTGGCTATGGCAAGACAATGCAGAGGGCTGGAACTGCTTCGTGCTGCTCACTGTTCAAATTTTGACCGTAAAGGTACGAACGGCACCCGAGAAAATATGCATACTGTGTTTTTGTAAATTCGGCAAGGTGAAAGATGACCCTGTCTGCGTGCAAATTGCCGCGAGACAAAGCTGGAAGGCTCCTGTTTGAGATATGAGTGCTGCATTTCCCTTCAAGGGTGCTTTTGCACAAGTACTGCTTTCAGGTTCGATGTCTGCTTGTAATATATTCGCTGCCCATCTCGACATGAGCTTTGCCAACGTTTGCTAGACTGCCTACGGCTGGACCCGCTGAAGCTGGGTCTCATGGCATTTACGCTCGCTTGCATAAGGCGTTGGAGTACGCATCCGAAGACATCAAAAACGATCCAGTGGTGACACTGCCCGTCGTTCAGTCTTGCTGGTGGGCCGCGACCTCTTCTGTACGCATAGGGAAAGCTCTCCAAGATTTGGCCCTGAGGCGCTGGAGTTTGTTGGACAAGACGTCCGACGAGACGAAGAAGTTGCCATCGCTCGTTGCTTAGATCCCTGAACTGGCAGACTTTCATCAATCCTTCTTTTTGGCGTAGGCTGCCTTGCGTCAAAATGCTCTAGCCTTCGAGTCGTGACCTCAAGAACGGGTTTCCAACTAGGATCCTCCAGCATCGCGTGCACAGCCTCTGTTCATGGGAAAGTGGACTTGGTACTGCTTCTGGGAGTTTTTTTCATTTTGCGACTCATTTTATGCAGACGCCCGCCGTGGCGTGCCTGGTGCGCATAGCAGCTAAATTCCTCGCCGTGTTTTCATGGAGTCTACAGCATTGCTGGATGAAGCTGGGTCATGCTGCCTCATAGAGCCAGACCAGAATGATGTTGCACGCAACGATACTTAAGGGTATGTCTGTCAGTCTGTTTGTCTCGACGAAGTTTGCCCTCCACACTTCGCTTTGGGCCGTACAGGCTATAGGTGGTGCGTAAAAAGCAGCCTTGGCGGTGCTGGCGCCGTAGAACCATGTTGGGAAGGCCATGTACATGTGCTGTTTTATCCTCCTAACTTGTACAGAAAAGCGCATGGGCATTTCACATGCCGGTGTCCTCGTGCGTCCTCCCTGGCAACGACAAGTTCGACCGAACGGCTTCCTACCTCCTGAGCATGCGGCTCCGGCTTCGGAATTGGAGCTCCTCATTTTCTCACTCATCTTGGCAATTGTCATTTTCGCCTTCCCCATGCGCTTCAGTTAGTGTCCTGCTATCGTGAGTTTTTGGGATGCTCAAAAACGAACCTTCGGTGGTCGCAGGCATCTCCCCGAATACACGGGAGGCACATGCACAGATTTCCGGATGCCCTCTTAAGTACACAGCATACACCGCATACTGCCACGACGAAGGGCCTTTGTATTCGTGGTCTGACGAAAGTATCTGTGCCCAGAAAGCCTTTCTCGTTCACGTGTGCGTGTGCTCGGCAGCTCAATGGCATGAACATCGAAAGCTGCAGACGCGGTCGGGCTGTGAGCGAGCCAAGGTGCCTGTCGCACGATCTGCGGCACGACCTCATCATCCTGCAAGAAGCTGTCCGCCCACAGCTTATTTCGGAGCTGCCAATCATGTGTAAACTGGTGGACCATGGTAACAGCGGAACCAGCCCAGAAGTATCTGTTGCCGACTGCCAAAGCTTCACCTGAAGGTGTGGACGGAAAGGCGCTGAGATTTGCATCGAAGGTCCTGCCCCGCTGCCCCGCATCGCACAACGAGAGCCTGCTTGACCGCGTCACTCACTGAAGCCGTTTCTCGTCAGGATCTATTGGCAGATCGCAAACTTGTGGAAGACCTGGGCTCGCTGCCGATGGAGGGCTTCTTTTGTTCGTGTGTCATTGTGCAGGACGCTGTTCGAAATGCGGGTGGAGAGGCTCTCCGCTATGCCGCCGAGGACAGCTGCAAGAAATGCAGCGTTCGAGACATCAGCCAGATCGAATAGCAGGAGTTTGGCGATGACCCAGACATGGTGCTTCTGGTGCGCTGACCAGCTGACATGCCCAGACACCATAGAGAGCAGCAGGAAGATGAAGAGTGCATCAGCGGGGGGTCTGCATTGGTGGGGTCGCTCTAACATCACTGCGGCAGAAGTACGTAGCGTGTTAGGCAGCTCGGGACAGATGACAGGGGCGCAATATGCACATGGGACGCGAGAAATGGACGACAGCAAACGCGAGACTTAGAGCATTAACTTGGACAAGGGGCGAAAAAACAAGTTCTGAACTCATACTCGGCAAATGCTGCCTGTCCTGACGATACGAGTAAGAATCCTGCAACAACTTGAGCACAGAAGGATGCACAAAAGACAGTCCATCCTGTCCGAACATTCTGGCTGTTTCTGGTAATTAGTTTTCGTGTGGAGGAAGTCTTTCTTACCGTGCGCATGACGATTTTGGAAGGCACTTCAAGCTCCTGCGGGCTCGCGGAGCACTAAGTCGGATTTACCCTTGCAGCGAGGTGTTGGACCCTGGGCACGTTTCATGTCGGCCTTCCGAGGGACAGAGCCTTGGCCTTCTCAAAGAGGTTGGCTGCGGATCATGGGTTTGTCCTCCAGCTTATGCAGTCAGACGCTCATTGGTCGAATCAAGTCTTTTCGAGCTGGTTGCAAATGCCTTCTATCAGTATAGCATTGACTTAGGAAGGATGGCATGGCCCTGCGCTATGTGCTGGCCTGATCTGCTCCTAGTCAGCCAACTATTGAAGTGAAATGACTCGTTGAAGGCTTCGGAGAGCTTGAAGGCGGACATGTCAGTCGTTTTGGCGGCCTCAACCTTGGTGTTCTGGCCCGGTTCTGGCTAAGGGGATTCCTGCATTCTATCGCATCATGCAGCTGGGGGAAGTTGAGACATTGAGGCCGTGGAGCAGAACGGCGATGCTTTGCAATTTGCTTCTGATGACATGCGCGACACACGCAAGGCTCGGCTCTACAAATAGGCAATGTGTCGCAGAAGTGTCCACAGCAAGCAGACCGCAATCGACCGCAGGTTGTGGAAGCAGCAATGCAGCAGAACCCGAAAGCTGTGCGATTCGCCTCCGAGAAGCTGCTCTCTGTGTCGTGCTCAGGCAGCTGAGAGCTCATGGGGGGGGGGGGGGGGGGGGNNGGGCGGGGCGGGGGAGGGAGGGGCCGGGGTCTCCACCTGGGTGATGGGCAGCGACTGTGACGGGTGACGAATGCCGCCCTGCCACGACATGAAGCCTCCATGATGCGCATTGCTCAGACCAGCCACGTGTTTCCCACTCGGCATTGCCAGAGTACTGCTTCTCCAACTCTGCAGATTCTAGGGATAGAATGCTGGGGCGTGAGCTGCAGCGCCCTGATGCTGCCGGCCACATCTCCATTCTCAAATTTGATGCTTCTATATATGCTTCTCCTCCAAGCGGACGCTCTTCTTGCTGTGTATTCTCCACATACAGTATTCGTTGGCTGTCGCCAGGAGCATGGATGCTTTGGGAAAGGTTTGGTTCTAGGCCTTTTGTTTACGAAAGGTTCTCCGGAGCGGGCCTCTAGATCTTGATTGGCAGTGGGACGAAGTCTCAATCATCATCGTAAATGTCAGAATTGCCATGAAATCAAGCGTGATCCTCTAGGCCAAGCGTGTGAAGAAACTTGTTGAACAAACCGCGACTCGTTTTGACTAGCACTGAGGACGAAGACTTGGTCAAGCAGGTTGCCACAGTGGACGGCACCATTCTAGAGTTTGCGGTAGATCTTTGCCACGCCCCGAGTTGTCAAGAGAGCGCTTTTACTCGAGTGCCTTGACTTCACTCATGTTGGATCGAGGTGGCAACAGGCGTGTGGCTGTGAAAGCTGTGGAGCAATCCTGGGAAGCGCTTCGCTTCGAAGAGGCATCGGTAAAATCGCCATCACCTCTAGGACCTTTAGCCGTCGCCTGGGCCGAAGGTTGACGGAGGCTTGCCCGCCAACTTGCTTCTGGAGGCTGTGAAGCAGGAGACCTCTGAATGATAACTACTGCTAGTCATTGAAGCGCGATATTTTGTTGCAGGATTGGAGAGCGGTTCAAGAGATTCTCAAGAAAGAGCCAGAGGTCTCCGAGGAGACCGCTTGCCGCATCTGTAGGGCACAAGACTTCCGAGCTGCCGACAGGATCTTCTTCTCCAAATGGCTACGACCAATCCTGAAATTGTGCGGGCAAGTCAGCATGCCTCCAAGTTATCTGCCACAACCCAGCTGCATAAAGTATATATTCGCGAGAAGTTTCGAGGTTGCGCGGACATCGGGTGATAGCAAGGGCTGCCCTTGAAGTGAATGGTATGATGCTGTTGGAAGCCAAGTATCCAGGCCGAGACCCTTTACAGCGTCGCGGTGGGCCTGTCCCGAGGCACTATCTACTGCCACATTTGAGATCGGATCTTGAACTTGTCGCGGCCTCGACGCTTCGCACCTCGGATGTCAAGCTTTGGCATTATGCCATCAGGCGGCTGCAGCCGTTCGCCAGAATCCCGATGCATTGTCAGAGGCGCATCCGGCTCTGCGCCCATGACTCAGCGGATCTGGTCTCCCTGCAGTCTCAGAGAATCCGCTCTGCGGCCTCCAAGCTGCGCTGTGCTCGAAGCTCTCTGCGTGGAGGTCAGGAGCCAACTTTGCGCAGCTTGCAGAAGGAAGGCTTCGCACGACGAGCACACACCGAGCTTCGGAGGAGTCCGAGCTGTTCAAGTCTTCGATTCTTCGAGTGCATGAAACCATAATTTCTTTCTCGTGCTGCCAGGGCCAAAGCTTTGAAGGAGGCCGAGGAATTGAATCGCTCCAGCGACTGTCAGTGAAGGGTGAAACCCGGGGCCGTTTGCCTTGTTTCTTGCGTTTCACATCTACGAACGCCGACAGAAAGATGTTGGCCCGAAAGCATTGCTCAAAGAGTTCGTTTTGCAGGGATGTGGTTCGCCCCATTTCCACAGCAGTCGCATGTATTACCGGCAAACCTGAGGAGGTGAGCCAGGAGGAAATGGAGGAAGGTGTGGCTCGGTGCGGTTCAGAACGTTCAGCAAGAATACATGACTTCGTGCCTAGTCACTTAGTCTGGGGCCGCACCCAGGCCGAGGCACCTGAGCCAGTATTGCAGGCGAGTGAGCGAGTGAGTTTCTTGAACAGGAAGCAAGTCCGGCAAGTCCCTATTTGTTCTGCCGTGCTCCCCGGCCCAGACGGGTGCAGACAAGCCGGCTCCTTCGCTGATCGGAAAGGCAGCTCATCGATTGGGGCTCGTGCTCGTGCCGACCAGGCCTTAGGGTTACTGCATCTGCAAGGTGGACGTGGAGAATGCCAGTGCCGGAGAACGATTTCCGCAGTGTGCCTGAAACTCAAAGGCTTTAACATGAACTGATATCCACGTCGATGGACTTCTTGGCATGTTGGTGTGCTGTTCTGCCCTTGCAGGTCGTTTGTTTGGATGAGCCCGGCTGCATGGTCTTGCTACCGTGCGCTCACGGAGGCGTTTGCGAGGCCGGCTACACTTTAGTTTGGTATATTGTGGCATGCTTGAGTGAAATGTCACTTGAGGGAGAGGGCATGTAACCTCGGCAGGCATGTGTGACCCGCATTGTCCAAAATCGTGCATTTGGGGGATCCCATTGTCCTCACTGCAGATCGACCATCAGCACCTTGGCTTGGACTGCACTTCGCAAAGCGGTATTCGTGGGGCTGATGAGTGGATGCTCTAAGGCACCATTGTCAAACTTGAGGAGGCACGCATCAAGTTTGCTCTGCAACATCTGCTACGTGTTAGAACGTTCCTGCCTCAGGTTGAAGGGGAGCTGGCCAAGGGAGTCGAATTGCGAATACCGATGGCCAGACCTCTGTCATAGGGGCGGCGAGGCAGGTGCAGGGTGAGCCGGCGATGGCCCAGCCCTTGACGACGTCCACTCTTTGCAGCGCTCTTCGGCTCTCCGCTTTCTCACCAGCTGCTGTGCTCAGAGATCATGTCAGACTTGGACAACAAGGTCATCCAACACTCATTGAAGCCAGCATGTCCAGACTGGCCAGCCATGTCAATATTGTCGGGTCTACTCTGCGATCTCGTCCAAAGGCCAGAGTATGGGAAAGTCGGGCGGGAAGATGCTGCATTCCCACAAGGCTTTTTGGGACGTGCGGAGTTTCGCCTCAAGCCCGACACAGTCTTCCTCCTCCAGAGAGAGTCCAGCTGCCACAGGCTGGCTGCAGAGCCTCAAGCTTTGGCTTTCTTTCGCTTCTGCCGCCTTGAGGCCGTCACTCTCAACTGTTGAAAACGCCTGCCCTGCTCTCAGACTCAGACTCTCGCAGTGCCGGGCATGGTCTTGCGCGCTCAAAGGTGTCCGAGCTTGAAGTCCCTTCCGCACCTCTTCCCCTCGCGAAGGTTCCGAAAACTGGGGAGGTCATGCATGCAGGTATCATCCGTCCTGTGCTGTGCCCAAGATGTGAAATGCCAATAACACAGTGCCACCATGCGGGCAGATCCACGTTAGCCCAAGATAGGTCATGACATGTACAATCAGTATCCGATGAACTGAGTAAGTCCGAAGATGGCGTTGCGGAGGCAAGCGACATTGTCTTCAGGGGTGCACTTCACGAGGATGCTGAGGCTTCCGATGTGTTTCATCATGGCTTTGTGTTGCCTGGTCCTGGAGAAGTGTCCGGCATGAGAACACTCTTAGGGCGGCGGTGCTCGACATGCACCTGCTGTTTCCAAAATGTGGAGCAACATTCCAGCACATGCCCCTCGGCAGGGTGAGAGGGCAGTTGAGATGGCTAGGTGATCTAGATTGTAGATGCTACTGCAGTCTCCACAGGTTCGCGAGTCTTTTCGAGCTCCTTCCAACTTAGTCGAAGCCTCGAAATTTTCCTCACTTTGCACACGTCCCAACCTGTCGCAGTTGGGCCGGCTCAGGAAGACGCACCGAAGCCGTCTGCACCGCTTCTACTGGACAACGTGCTCTGGCGAAGCAATGCTGCAACACATGCCTTTGTTATTTCTATTCTGGGTTTTGACGGGGAAGGTCAGATGATAAGTTGTTGGCACCAACTCTTGTTGCCGCATCCCTTTGTTCGGCAGGCCCTTCACATCCTTAATCTTTTTGTGCTTCGCTGGCTGCACCTAGAATGAGTGACAAGTTATACTTTTGACCGTTCTGGGCATTCCTCCCCGACTTCCACTACCACCTTCCTGGTATTTCTAGGAAACACTTATATTTAAGTAAATGTACCCTGGGTTTCCTTATCTTGAAGCGCACGACGTTTTACTCAGTTTTCGGACTTTAGGGTACCCTGGCTAGGTTTCTTACACCAAGTAGCTAAATGTGAAAGGACTCCAAAACAGCCAATCAGAATTCAACAACTACACGGTGAATGCAACAGTTTTGGAAGAGCCCTCTCTCTCCTAGGCATGCCAGGAATCCCCAAAGTAAGAAATCCTGCCCCGTAGCCTTTGATGCTTCAAGAAAGCCGTATCTCAGAGGGCAGGCGCACACACCAGTTAACAAAGGCCGTGGGCTCGATTCCCTCGAGTGTCTCTTCCATGGATCGGCCCTGAAATACCAAATCCAGCCCCTCAGTTTCTGAGTTCGGTGTTTGTTTGAAGCGAATAGAACAAGCGAAGACAAGTCGAAAAGAGCAAATTGGTACGCCGAGGTCAGGGTTTATCCTGAATCGCTACTTTTCAACTTGCAGATGTGTTTTAAGGTTTATGTTTTTTTGTTCGCACTGCAGCCAGAGGGGCCCAATTTCTGAAACCAATGATTTCTCAAGCAATGCTCTCGCTGTACCTCAAGGGGGGGGGTAACCACATACACGACTGAAAGCCTGAAAGCCCCAAGGCCATCACTTGTTGGCCTCAATACAATTGAGGTCCGTCCCCAAATCATACACGAACTCGGCTCAGGGTGCTTAAAACTTTGTTAATTCGACACCAGGTTGAACGAACTCGACGTAAAGTTCATACACAGAGATACATTGTTGATTTGTACATTCCCTTTTGCGTTACAGTTACTATCCTGCAACCGACGCTGCAAATCCAGTGCTACACAGCCCTCGGAATAGTTCGCCCCCAAATCAACTGTACTAAGCTGCAGGAATATGTGGGTGATGCTTTTTTGTATAGAGATCTCACCAAGCCTACTCGCTCGCTTCTGTTAGTTGGGTCAAGAGGAGCAGCCCCAAAGCAAACAAGCCAGGTGCTATCGAAAGTCAAGACTCTCTTCGCAAGCACCGGCCTGGGACCAGCTAAATGGTCGCAGGCAGAGTGGACGGATTGAATCTGTGTTAATACGGTTTCTGAATGCATGCCGGAAGGTTGCCAGACCATACTACCAGGGAAAGCCTTCTGGCCGAACTGTTGCTGATGCTAGCATGGCTGTTGGTCTAGCAATGTCTAGCACGTGAGGATTGCTCTGGCACCATACCAGAAGGGTCAAAAAGCCGCCTACAACTATCCGCGCGTGCCTGAATTTGATCAGCCGCAAAGCTCTGACCTCTGACGACCATGCTTGAAGGCCAGTTCTTGTTCCACGCGAGCTGGCCCATCGCTTCCCTTTGGACATGCGCCCCGAGCTGTCGCTTGCAAAAAACAAACAAGCAAGTACCCTTCCTCTCCGCCCTCCTTTCTCCCCGGACCTCGCTCTCTCTCCCTCCCTTCCTGCCTTCCTCCTGATCGCGTGCAGCAGGTATGTCGACCCTGTTTTTCAAACATCGGATGCCTCACAACGCATCCGCATGAGGTCGCTTTGTGCACATGAATTTCTGGATGCGCAACCAAGTCTTGCCAGGGGGTTCACCCTTTTCCCACGACTGCAGAGTAAGACTCTTGACTGCATCAGATGGACCGTTGGCAGTTTGCGCTGTGTGTGTGAAACCGTAGAACGATACTTTCGTGTCTCGATACATGTGCAATCTCGTCGCGACTAAGAAGCTGCACCTTGTCGCATATGTTCTGGTTTCTGCCGGCGGAGGTGCTTCGCAGGATGTACGAATCAAGCCGGAAATGTGCCCAGAGTATTGTAGAGCTTCATGGCATAAGTCCAACATCCGAAACTCAAGCGCATGGACTTTGCAGGTGCAACCTGTAAGACTTTGGTCGGAGCCCTGTGTGGAGGTGTGGAGGTTGATCCAAGACATCGAAGAGCAAAGTGCACTTCACATCGCCGCACCCTGCGTTGCAAGATCAAAGGAGTAACGACGCCTGCATGAAACATCCGAGACCGGTGACCGAAGGCCACTCACCTACAGAAACGGCAGGAGTTGGCAGCTATGTCATGCCGCGTCTCAGCTACAAATCTAGTCGAAAAGGTGGAAAGAATCTTGTATAGGTAGGCGGCTGAGCTTCAGATATTCCCAGCCCCCCCTAAGAATCTGCGTTGAATGAGCCGATGCTGCACAGGGATCAGGGTAGGGTGCATATCTGCGTCGTTGAGGATTACGACGAAATACTCTGTGAGGACGACAAGTACTCAAACAAGCTGAGCCAGGTGCACGCTAAGAAACAAGGGTTCGTTTAGGTTCATGTCGCATCTATCGGCAGCAATGAATGATGGATTTCAAGCAGTTGCGGTTTCCTTGTCCCTCATCAGTTTGCGGCCTTGAAAAAGTGGATGGCATTTTTTTAGCCGAGTGGGTGTCTTCATCAGTAATTAGGGTCCCTACATGCCGAAGAAATATTCCAGGAGCAACGCTCCCAAGACCACCCCGTGCATCCAAAACGCGCACCACACTGTGGTAATCTGTGGTAGGAGTACCCTGAGAACACGCACGACATTGTGGCGGGAATACGACTGAGGGAGGCGGAAGACGCATGACTACAGTTTATGCAGGCAGGAACACGGGACTGCGGCGGAAAGATGAAAAACATAACGCACCCCACAATACATGCGGAATGAACAATTCCAAAACCCCCTAAGACTAGGAGACCCAAAGGAGCACGGGACCGTGGCAGGGCATCGACGTTGCAACGAATTGGGTGCCCGGATATGGTGGTGCGGGACAGTGGAAAATTGATTTTTAATGCAGTCTCAAATGCTCAAGTCTCAAACGCTTCAAAGAAGGGAAGTTCACGCATCTGGCTCAGGTCGCTCTGCACTTGTCAGCCCTCTTCTCTGCTAGCCAGGTCCGTACGCAAAGTCAGCACAAGGCTCTTAACCTGTTGGACGAAAGCTGAAGGCACAGCCAGCTGGGCTTTGAAAGGAGCGAACTTCCGAAACTGTCATCTTGACATTGATGAGAGCTCCAGTTGCCATCAGCGCTCAACCGAACTTCAGATGCCATATTTTTTTGCGATCCTGCAGCTGCGCAGCTCGGGGATGCTCGACACACGCGAAGGCAGCAGGAAATGGGAGATGTTTTTGCCGTACATAGTTCCAGCTCGTTGGACAGGCCCAGCAAGAGGCCTCGCACAGCAGTGGCAATGAAATGCAATGAACAACTTGTACTAGTTTTTGCAACAGCGGAGATCGTGAGCGTAATTGCAGCCGTGTCGAGAAGCATTTGTAGAACTACCAACACATTGCCAAACCGCGCCTGTGCAACAATGCTTGCTCTAATGGCGTACAGGCAAGCCCACATCTTTATACCTCGGAGATCTTCCACGCTCTTTCCGGACGATTGCAGAGATGTGTGCGACCTAGTTAACTCACATAAGTCTATCAAATGCCGTGTCGAAGTGCTCTTGATCCTTGCAACGTCGGCCACGGCACGAGTTGCCTTCGCACAGAAAGGGGATGTGCATGCATGTAACTACGAGAATCCAGCAACACAGTCTACCTGTCGACTCAGCAGAACACGCAAGTTGTCTTTCAGCATCACATTGCCTCTGTTGCCTGCTGGGCAACACGGTCGGCGCCCAGCGACGGATTTATGAAATCCTTGCAGACTTGCAGAATGAGGACCTGGAGAGCCATTAAGACCCGCTTAGGACAACTCTGCTTCTGGTCTTCTCTGGACAGCCGCTGAGTGGTTTGTGGCTGGCGGCTCAGCGCGACGGACATGACAACGTCACAAAGTCTAGCGCATTCTGTCGAGTTGCAGCTGAGGACAGGTCTTCGCCTGTGGCTCGATGCCGTGGCAGCTGGCTTTCAGCTTTTACCCAACACTCAGGCTGGACTCGCCTTTGGGGACTGCAGCGGTCCGAACACCGCAAAGCTTAAATCATCTTAAAGCTTAATAGTGTTTAATGCTTGCTGGTCATGCTGAAAGATTTCAAGGTGATCAGGCAGAAGGACGGCAATGGATCGGACTAGTCAATGGAAACCTTCGGACAAACCTGATGATCCAGCAGAGGCAGCTGACAGAGCTTGCAATCTGTCAGGTTCTAAAGCTGCACTGCGAGGAAGGATGGTTCAACCGCAGAACCCATCAGCTGACAAAGTTCCAGCTCAGACGGCAGGCAAAACCCACATGCTGCCTGTTGCCACCTTGTGTTGTCTGCGCTCCAAGTCGCAAGTCGCACAAGGTTAAGGAGGAAGAAATATGGACGACTTTCGTCTATCGTGGCAAGTGGAAATGGGAATACGCGTGAGACCCAGTCAACCTACAGTTGGGAACGGCTTGGCAGTTGCACTCTCGATTCCCCCTGGGAGCGGCACCAGCATAATTGCACGTGAACATGCTCTAGGAACGCGCTCTGCATCTCTACAACAAAGAGTTGCCGGTCGTGCTATTGCTCGGGCCATAATGCTTTCCCAGAAGCACCACCAAAAGGTTACACGGTTACACACTCTGCACAGGCTGGATTCCTTGGGGTATGTGAGATGGCATGCCTGTGCCCCGGAAAACTGCAATGCTCTCAGTGCCGACCCCCGGCTGCTGCCAACATTGAGGCAGTTGGATTGCCAACGTCGGAAGCAACGGAGCTCTTCACTGCGCTATCCCGTATGCCACGCCCCTGGAATTCTTTGGTGGAGCATTTGACTCTCAATTTCCGTTTTCGCTGCAGGCTGGCGCATGAAAAGAAATCTTTCACGTGAGAGTGCAGCACTGGCACTGCAGAGCAAAAGTTGCACCATTGAGTCATGGCGGAGAGAGCAAAAGTGGCACACAGAGCCAGCCTCCGGTGTCTCCACAGTGCCTGAACAGTTGCACAGATGTCTCAATAGATTTGGCTGCCAGGCCTTGTGCGACCTTGTGCCATGCACAGACTGCTGCGCTTGACAGCCGTTGCGTGAGGCACGAGGTGCCGTGGCTTACCTTCCAAACTTGTTTTAATGTGTTTCACCAGCCTGGATCCTCAAGATAACGAAGTGGCAAGGAGACGAAGCCGGCGTTGACTTTGTAATGTCAAGGCGGTCACATGCTGCCAAGGTGTTTCACTGCCGCTGTTTCTCTTATGCCTTTTATTTAGACTACCGGTCCCACAAGTACTCCAGGACAGCAGCACAATTCCCAACCAGTGGCACACAGAAGTGAGGAAGCGTGGATGGCTGCTGTGTTGCGTGAGCGTACTGTAACTGAAGCCACGTAGAAAGCTCCTGCATGCTCTTCGAACAGATCGGTGATGCATACCCGCACTCGGCTATACCTACACTGCGTGCATGTTAGCGTGCAGCCTGCCTGATGAATGTGACTGAGCAAAGCCTTGGCATCGTTAAGACTGGCCGAGAAGTTGAAACAAGCTTTCAAGACTCATCCACGGCAGTCGGTATCTGGCGTCGCTGTGGACCAGTCATCTTGGATCATCTTGGCATGTTCTGCCTTTGCGTGGGCCATTCCATGCGGGCACAACTCAAAAGTTTGTGAGCTGTCGGTTGGAAAAATCAGCGACTCCGGTGATGGGTGCCAGACCTAAGCTGCTCACGACATGGCACGACAGACCTGCTTCTCGTCCGCTGTGTCGGCAAGTCTGAGGTATAGGCAATCCGATCAACTCAGTTCTTAATTTTACATCTTCATAACATTGCTCTTGCCCCAAAGCACCATGCGATGCAGCCGCGACTTTGCAACATTGCCGAACTCTTAAGGTAAGCTGTGGATGCAAACTGCGTCATGATAGATAGTCCCAACACCGTAGGAGATCATATAGGAGATACTCTGCTCAAGATCCGTGAGATGGAAGTATGGACTCCTCAGAGCAGTGCCGGCCTACGGTTGGCAGCTCAGTTTTCGAAGTTCCCATACAACATAACCGTCGGAAAGGACTTCCACTAGTAGCTTTCTTGACAGAGAGAGAGAGAGAGAGAG